TGTGGGACACAGAAGGAGCCACATCCAGACACACGAGCCTGGAGCCCCGGGCATGAGCCAGCAGGGAGGGGGCCGGAGCCGGAAAGGCAGAGTCTGGTGGTCCCGGGCTCATGAGCCTGGTCCTTGGCCATGCCGCCTGGACGGGGATTCAAGGAGGGTGTTCGTGGCACAGACACCCCGGAATCCCAGCCCTATTCCCAGCCGCCCTGTCTCTGTGGGAATTATCCAGCTCCTGGCCTCTGTCTTGGGTTTCCTCGGCTTCTTCTGGGTCAGGAAGCTGTCCCCAGAGCTGTGCACAGTGATGCACGCAGAGGCGGGTCACCGCGTGTAGACAGACCCAGGAGAGCCCTTGGGACCAGGAGCGCTTCCTTCTACTCTAACAAAACGACCCAGGGCCGCCAGCAGCCGGAGAGGAGGGCCCGACCTAAGCCCAGAGCTTCACCTCTTTCCAGTGTGACAACGTCCAAACATACACAAAGCAGGACAGCCGCTCTCCTCCCGGGGTCCGGCACACGCGCACGCACGGCCTCTCCTCCAGCCTCAGCCCCGTGGGCCGCCGCGCTGACCACTGTCGGGCCTCTCGGTGCCGTCTGCAGGACCAGTGACTCCACGCTGGTTTGTGGGACAGAGGACGACGCCCCCCCTCGGTGTCGGCATGTTGGGTCTCTTCCAGTTTCTGTCCTGGAACCGCTGTCCCTCAGCTCCCTTCGTGCCAAGGCGTATTCGAGAATCCAGGTCCGGAGTTCCTCGTTCAGGTGTCCCTTCTCATCAGTGATGACCTTCCACGCCTCCATCCCCTTCCTCCGGGATTCCCTCCAGTGGGCATCTCCGTCTGAAGCCTCCATCACACGCAGGCGCCCCGGCCCAGGTGCAGCGGCCAGCCCCAGCAGGGGTGCGGGCGGTGGAGCCCGGTCCCTCGGAGCTGTAGAGCCCGCCCTCGAGGGTGGCCTGAGTCATCGCGTCGTGAGGCCTGGACGGACACTGAGCCTCCATGTCCCATCGTTGGTTCTAGGTTGATTTGCTGGTGCTGTTTTGTGCAGAAGAGCCTTCCCTGCTGTCCCCTCAGGCTCTTTGGTTATCCCCGGACGGGGGTTCACATTACAGGAAGATGGGGTCACGCAGGATCCATTTCCTTTTGCCCCTCGGTTACTGGTTCTGGAGAAAGGGATCCTGACGAAAACTTCCTCCAGTGGAGCAAGTGAGGTTAAAAATTTTTTTTCTTCTTAATTTCTTGTTGGGGGTCACGGGGAGCAGATGCATTGCATACACTAAACGTGTTCAGTCAGGTGCGGCCACGGCTCCCCGGGGTCCCGCCGGGGAGAGACCCGTCCTGTGGCTGGTGGCGGGACCTCGAGCGGCCCTGACGCTTTCCTTCTTGCTGGCACGAGACGGGTCTCGGGTCCACCGTGTCTGCATCTGACCCATGAGCTTTTTAAAAGGGGGGCAAGGTGTCAGAGACTCAAATACAGGTACTCGGTGCTGGGTTTTGCCGTCATTGCTTCCTGTATGTCTGGTGCGGGAACCAGTGCTAGGAAACGTTTTTATAGCACAAGACTACATTAACACTTTCAGTTCAAATTTAGGATTGTGGGTCCGTATGTCACTGATCTGATTCTGATTCCTATACATCTCCTCTCACACTGATAACGGGTTCCTCCAACATTCGTTTACTTACTTACTGGCATTATCTTAGGAAATACACTAAATTCCAAATAACAATGTCAGATTTCATTCTAACAGTAAGACTTATTGGATAATATTTATAACTCCTTTATTGCTTTTTGTCCTTAAAAAAAATCCCATTATAAATAATCTAAATACTGTGTTCCAAAGTCCTTTGAAATAAATCTTCTTTGGTTTTGTTACAAACTTAATATAAATTTATAGAAATTGGTGGGGTATTTTTGGTAAGGATACTTTTCTTTTTCAGTTTATTTTTTGAATATGAAAACATTTACATAGTTCTGAAGTCAAACCTTGTGACATCACAGGGAATCTCTGCCCTGGTCTCTGGGCCACCCTCCTGCCCCCCGGGGGGCTGTGCCGGACTCCTGGAGCCCTCCTCATTCCCCACGTGACAAGCGCTCTGGGAGCATCTTCTGTCCTAATGAGGTGACTCGGGGGGCTCCTGGATGGCTCCTGGGTGGGGGCTGGTCTCCAGAAAAAGCAGTGGTGACTGGACACTGGGAACTTTTAGGTCCACTCCTCCCCCCACCAGGTATCCAGGGAGGGGGAGGGGCTGGGAAGGGAGTCCGTGAGCCATCCCTGGCCTGCATGAGGAAGTCCCATAAATCCCAACAGGACGGGGTCCCGAGAGCTTCCGGCTGGGGGCACACGTCCACACGGAGAGGGTGACACACCCCCAACTCCGCGGGACGGAAGCTCCTGTGTCCGGGACCCTCCTGGACCCGCCCCCCATGTCTCTCCATCTGGCTGTTGACCTGAAACCTTTATCACACCTTTATCATACAACGAACCTGCAAACGTGTTTCCTTGAGATCCGTGAGTCACTCTGGCCGATTTGTCCAACCGAGGCGGGGTCGTGGGGCCCTGATTGGTCGCCGGTGGTCGGCACTGAGGGGTCCGCTGGGACTTGATTCTCGTGTTGGCATCTGAAGTCTGGAGTGTGGGGAGGGGGACGGGGGCAGGGTGTTGTGGGACCGAGGCCCCACCTGCGGGATCTGATGCTGTCTCCTCGCAGTCGGTGCCAGAATGGAGTTAAATCGTCGGACATCCAGCTGGAGTTGTGCGGAATTGCTTGCCGTGGGGACCAGAGCCCCCACATTTGGTGACAGAGTGTCAGAAGCAAAGTGTTCGGCGTGCGTGGTAAGGGAGATGTAAGGGTGGGGTGGCTTTTCTTTTCTTTCTTATAATTTTATTTATTGAGATTAAGATTGAGAGAGATCACAAGCAGGGGAGCAGCAGGCAGAGAGAGAGGGAGAAGCAGGCTCCCTGCTGAGCAGAGAACCCGATGCGGGACTCGATCCCAGGACCCTGGGATCATGACCTGAGCCAAAGGCAGACGCTCCACCGACTGAGCCCCCCACTGCCCCTGGGGTGTCTTTTCGACACAAACACTGTACCAAGCTGGGAACAGTGAAGTTTCACTGCCCTCCCTGACTCTGCCCACCTCAAAATCACCATTTTTGTAAAGTTCTGATTTATCATTCCATGGCTTTGATTTTTTGCAAATATAAATAAATACATAATAGTCATACTTTCACCTTTTCTCAGACAAAAGCCAGCACACACCACATACTGCATCTACTTTATCCCCTTCGTCAGTGTGTCTGGAAACGGGAGGGAGAGGGAAGACGGGCCCGGAGAGGGAACCTGGCGGGAGAGTTTTGTGCACTCGGTGGCGAGTGCGGGAGGCCGGGGCTTCTAGGGAAGCGGGGCGGTGGAAGGCCGGGCAGGGAGGAACCCAAGCTGTGGTCCCAGCTCCATCCCAGCCAGCCCGAAAACCTCCCCCTTTCGATCAGTTTCCTCATCCGTCGTGTGGGATCGTGGGACGGCGGACGGGACTGAATTGGGTCCCGCCCCCAAAGTTCGTGTACACTTGCAACATCATGTCGTGAATTTATGTGGAAATAGGGTCTTTGCAAATATAACCCAGTTAAGATGAGATCATAAGGCATTCGGGTGTGCCCCAGCCCTGATGGCCGGTGCCTTTGTGAGAAGAGGACACGCAGACACACAGGGAGAAGGCCAGGTGACAGAGCCTGGGGTGATGGGACACAGCCACGGAACACAGAGGAGTCCGGGGAACCAGCCGCAGCCGGGACAGGCAGGCAGGACCCGCCCTGGAGCCTTCCGGGGAGCACAGCCCCGCTGACGCGGGGGTGCTCAGGCTCTGGCCTCCAGAGGAGAGAGGGAGGTGTGTGGGTTAAGCCCCGGAACGTGGCCCTGAGTGCCAGCAGCCTGGGCCTGTGACAGAGATGGGCTCCTGTCTGAGGTCACTTTCTGCTCAGGACCCAGAGGACTCCTCCCCATTAAGTGGCACGCGGGTGGTGGAAACAGGCACCCAGGGCCCTGTGCCCAAGGAGACCACCCCGGGTACAATCACCTCCCTCGATGCTCGTAACCACTCAAGTGAGAACAGCGGCCGTAAAGAGACATTAAAAGATTCTCAATTACACTGCATCTCCCGGGCAAAACTACGTTTCCGTAAACACTACAGAAGCGGCTGGAGAACGGGGCTGGTGGGGGCAGCCTGTACACCGGGACCATCCCGAGCTCAGGCCCCTCTCCACGGGTGTGGTGGGACATGGTCTTGGGGCGCCCCATTGCCCCAGACCCAGCAGTTTGAAGCCGGACTTGCCTTGTTCTCCAATACCTCCCGCGACTCTCCCCACCAAGGCACCCGTGTCCTCTCCATCTATGCGTCCCTCTGCGTCCGCCCCGAGGCCGCCTCAGACACCCCGCCTTTGGCTCGTCCAGTGACCAGCACCGTCACCACCGCCTGGCACTAGCCCGGTCTCCATCACGCACCTGCCCTTCGCGGCCACTGCCTCCGACACGTTGGTCAGCCAGCCCCAGGCCAAGGGCAGGCACTGTCACCCAGCTGCATGGGCCATCTGTCCATGGAGAGCCACAGAATTAGGACGGACAAAGTCGGTGTCTGTCGCATGCCTGGCCCGTCTCATTGCTGTCAGTGGAGGAGCTGGAGAGAAGAAGGTCCCTTTTCCCATCTGTCGGATGCTGCCTCCTGCACTACTGCTCTGGGAGACCCTGGGGGAGGCGGGCTGCAGCAGGGGGTCGGAGAACACCAGAAACGGCTGTCCTGTTCTGGGATCCCCCGGGCGCGGACATCTCCTGCCCCCGCCTGCTCCTGGGCGGGAGGGCCCTGAGCAGCCCCTGTGCCATTTGCCCACACAGGGATGATCTGCTCTCCTGTGCTATCTCCATCTAAGGCGTCCTGGGCTGGGCGGGGGTGGTCAGGGGAAGGGAGACAGGTGGGGGTACACATCTAGAGGATAAGCAGCCCCCCGCCACTGGAGGAACTCACCAACATGCCCAGGGTTGTCACCATGTTTGTGGGAATCTTCGGAGAAGGAACTCACGGTTTGCAAATATTTTATGCTGACCTTAATCCCAGATCCTAGTTCTGTGATTAGGGTCCCTTCTAGTGGCTTGCAAAGATCCTTCAGGAAACAGTTGGACCGGCCTAGACGGGCAGTTTCAGAGGCAACGCAGGGGTGGGGGGGTCTGCACATGTATCTGCCTAAACCTGAGATCCCCTCCCCCACATTTCAGAGCCAGTATCCTCTCACTGGTTTGCTCCCCATGACCATCTACAGATCCCTGTTTCAATACATTGAGAATTAATGTCGCTCAGCGGTACTGAGGATTCCTTTCGGTTGCAACTGACAGGACCCCCAGCCAAGCTCATTTCAGAAAAGAAGAGTTTGCTGGTTGACTTAACTGGAAAGTGTAGGAGGCAGCTGCCTTCAGGCACAGCTGCATCTAGGCTCTGGCAAGATAACCCTAGCTACCATCTTAATTCAGACTCTAAACTTGATTTCACTGAGGTTGGCTTTGCTCCCAGGCAAAGATGGCCTGGGAGCTCGAGGCCTAGGGGGTCCTCAGAACTCCCAGCTTGGAGGATCAGGGTCATTCTAGAAAAATCCCAGGCAGGGTTTGGATTGTGTGGACTTGGGTCCCATGGCTGTCACTGAGCTGGTTTCTGTGGGTGGGGGAGCGCCGCTCTCTCGTTGGCTGGCCTTGGGTCTTGGGACCTCAGCCAGATCCCGTGACCATGCTGCGGACCGTGAGGGTGTCCCACCAACAACAGAAGCCGTTGTGAGCGCACGACGGGGTGAGGAGGCTTCACTGAAGGAAGGCAAAGAGGGACAAAGAAGACGTTGTGTCGGGGCAGGTGAAAGCCACAGCCCCTGACAGCCCGGGAACGGCTGCTGACGTCACCCCAGGAGATCTTGCCTTTCGGGACCTCACACCTCACCCAGCAGCCTCCTACCCTCGTGGGAGCCTGGGGTTCCCACAGAGCTCACGGTGCTAGGAGCACAGGAGGTGCTCTGCACATGTTTGGGGTGTCGAGGCATCCATGGGGCGCTTGCAACTGGCAGACCACAGACCCCTCCTGCCATGTACCCCCAGGCTGTAGCGCTTACCCTGGTGGAGGGTCCGTGTCTGTGGGTGGGACGATGGCAGGAGGCAGAGGGGTGTGCCAGGGTCTGCGCTCAAAGCTCTATCCCTGCCCCCGATGCTGGGGTACAGCGCCCTTTGGGGGCCTGGCCTGGAGAACCCCCTCTCCCAGCCCCGCATACAGGTTACCTAAAGTGCTTTCCCCTTGCACTCACATCAGCTGCTGGTCAGGATGCGCAGGCGTTTGACGCTAATGGAAAATCTGCCTTGTGACTCGTGGAGTGGCCCGAGTGATCTGGCGTGTGACAGTGAGGGGGGCCTCTCCCCAGGGAGGGTTGGGAGGGGGCCCTCTCAGCCCTGCCATGCCCATGAGGTTGGCCTCCGGGCTCCAGGACGAGGACAGACACAGAAGGTTGGGGCAGGCAGGCCCCCCTGTGCCCAGCTTAAAGGGGAGTCAGCGCTCAGCTGGCCCGGCTCGACTGGGTGGGAACAGCTCCAGGATTCCAGGCGTTTGCAAAGGCAGCAGCTGCAGGGACAGCCTGGGGCCTCAGCGCTCAGGCCCTACCCCAAAGCCCCCTTCCCCTAAGCCAGCCCGTCTTCCGATCAGCTGCTTGCAAACCCCCCAGGCAGAAGGCGTGCAGGAGGTGTGGAGAGATTCGAGGAGGGAAAAATGGTGCTTAGGCAGCAAACCTTCCGCAAACCCTGAAAGTAAGGGCTTCCTTCTTTGCAGATCTGCCTGTGTTTCTGGGTTTCCAGAGGCCCGGCTGGGGCTGGAAATAGAAATGCATTGCGTGCATTCATTCACTTAGCAAATATTTACCAAGCACCTCCCATGGGCCAGGCCTGGGCCAGACGCGGCTTCCTCCTCCGTATGTCAGTGAGCAAAGCAGACAAACTCGTGCCTTCACGGAATCAGTGCCCGGGTGTGGGAAGACAGGAAAAAAAAGCAAAAAGAGGATAAAAGATTAAAGGAGTCAATCAAGAGGCGCTAAGGGCTACGTGAAAAGCCGGGCAGGCAGAAGGGGGACGGCCGGGAGCAGCGGTCCCCCTTCTGCGGGTGCCGGTCCAACAAGGCGGCGCGGGGCCGTGAGCCGAGGGCCCCCGAGCCGAGAGCCCGCGTTGCCCGCGAGGGTGGCCAGGCCCTCCTTAGTGGCCGCGGGGAGCGCAGATGGTGGCGAGGCGTCAGGGACGCCGGTGGGAGGCCGCCGTGTGACGCGGGGAGCCGTGGGCAGATCCGCGGTGTGTTCCGGGGATGGAGCCAGCGGGGTTTCCCGGGAACGGGGAGAACTCGGATCAGGCCTTCAGCGCTTCCGCGGGGGATGCCGTGGCGGGGGAAGGCAGGGAGGGCCGGGGCTCGGCCTACCGGAAACTGGTGGAGCCGGTCTCCCAAGCCTGGAGGGCTGCAGGGAGGCATCGGGGTTCCCGCCGACGGTGTGCTCTGGAGAACGGTACATTTAGCTCAGAGACCTGGGCCGCGTTGATGCAACGTTTACCGAGCACCAGCCCTGCACCCCCTGTAGAACCGACCCCCAGCTGGGGGGAGGGGTATGGCCCCCGACACCTGGGGCAGGCTGGGCCGGGCCCCTCAGAGCCGATCCCGGGACGCCAACGACCACGTGGGGACGGGGTCTGAAAGGGATGTGGCGGGGGGTCAACGTCTTGTAAAGCAGCAAGAAATGACAATGAGGCGCCCCTCTCTGCAGCTGCCCTCCGCGGGGGCTGCATCCCCCAGGGGCAGAATGTGTGCATGCGAGTGTGTCATATGGGCGTGTTACACAGGTCTTCTGCATTCGTGAGTGTTGCACGCGTGCACGGCTGTCTGTGTATCTGTGTGTGCGGGTTTGTACTGGGTTAAAAAGTGACCGAGTGCGGTCATGCAGAGAGAATCCCAGGTCAGCAAGGGCTCGGCCGTGAGAACCTACCACGCGTGGACCCGGGTCCTCGGGAGGACGGCAGCAGAGTGCGGGCTGCGGCAGGGCTGGGCTCAGACACGCGGTGGGGTGCTGGCCTGTCCCCGCAGCCCGGGCTCCCGGCCCCACGGCCCTGCAGTGGGCAGAGAAGTGACTCACTGGCCGGGACCAGGGCAGAGAAGGGAGACCCAAGGGGGTTGGAGGCAGGAAGAGGAGCACACGTTTTCTGGGTTGTGGGGGCACTGGGGACAGGAGGGACCCTGTGCGGAGGCCACTTCCCCTGCTGGGGCCCTGGGAAATAAGTCACCCACATAAGAGGGGCTGAGCTGTGGGCCCCGGAGCGTCCGCGGGAGTGTGACCTGTGCTCCATGGTCTGGGGCGGCCCAGGGATGCAGCAGCAGTCGGTGGGAACCGCGGCTAGGCAGTGGGTTCCAAGCTGTTCTGGCCAGCTCGGATCTCCTGTGGTCGGGCAGCCTCCCTCTGTGCGGGCAGCCAATCTGATGGTGGCAGGAAGGATGCCAGATCATGGGTGTAGAGCGTCACGAGCAAAGTCAGAGCTGAAATGGATGCTGAGCTGACAGCAGATCGCGGTGCGCCAGCAGATAGCTCGGGACGCGCTGGGCAGGGGCTTCCAGTGGTTACAGCGGGGGGACGTGATTGTCACGGCCACCGCCCCCTCCTCCTCCATCACCTTCCCCACTATCATGTCCTGCACCATCACGTCCTCTATCATGTCCTCCATCACCTCCACCATCACCTCCGCCGTCACCTCCTCTTCCATCACCTCCTCCATCACCTCTGCCATCATCACGTCCTCTACCATCACCTCCTCCTCCATCACCGCCGCCATCACCGCCGCCATCACCGCCGCCATCTCCTCCTCCATCACCTCCGCCATCATCACCTCCTCCGCCACCCTTATGATCACTGTCTAATTGCTAGTGTTTGGGGGCAATGACAGAACACTTGTTCACTCCATAAACTTTCTCATCCCAGACCTCACCCCCCCCTGCCCTGCCTCCACTGTGCCCCGGGAAGCTGCCCACCCGGTAGGTGACTTTGCCCACCTGACTCCCTCACCCTCTGGCTTCCAGGGGGGCTTCCTGCCGAGGACTTCGCATGGAGCAGAAGGGAGGGGTACTCGTTCTTCACCAGGTTGCAGGAGCACAGATCCCACTGGCTGGTCTTTCCTGAGACCATGGCCCTGGCTCTGGTGACCACCATCCTTCCCGCCCTCCTTCGGCCTGGGGGTGGTCGTCACAGCTTCTGTCACCGGTCCCTCGATGCCTCAGCCGTTCTCGTGGTTCCCCCAACGCTGCCAGCAGCGCTGAAAGTGCTCTTTTCGTTAACAGATCTCTTCTCCCCACCATAGGTGGGCCATCTGGTTCCTGTCCTATTCTGAGAGATGCCAGTCTCGTGGCGTGCCAGGCACAGCACGCGCGTCCTGGAGAGGCCCAGCAGCACCTGTGCAAAAGCCCCATTAAAGCATTTGCAGCACCTGTGCCTGCGGCATCTGGGCCGAGGTCAGGGACACGGCCTGCCCCGAGGAGCCCCAGGGGCCCTACGAGACAGCAAGGGTCTCAGGCAGACAGAGCCCCGCTCCAAGAGCTGGGGTGGCGAGCAGGTTCGAGGGAGCCTGTTGGAATCAGGCCTGGCTGCGATGGGGATTTGCCCATGACTGGAGGGAGATCCAAAGGGGCCCAGGTTTCCCCCCGGGGTGCTGGGAGGCTCTGCTGGGCGGGGGAGGCAGGGAAAGATAGACCCTCCTCCTGGGGAATACCCCGTCCTCCAAACAGCAGAGGCGGGGCGGGGCGGGGCAGGAAGTGCAGAGCTGCCTCTCTCTCCGCTGACTTCTCTTCCCGCCTCCCGCTTTGCTCCCCGTGCCCCGCCCTGTTTTCCCCTCCCCCCTTCTCCACCAGGGCTCTGCTGTCAGCTGCTCATGACCTTCCAAAGAGGGCAAGCCCTTGGCCCAGGGCGGCCAGACCCGTGCTCAGCCTCTCCCGTCCCCTGGGCTCTGGATGGGCGCCCTGAGCACACCGCTCAGCCCAGGCCGTCTGGGGGCTCCACAGGAGAAACACGCTGTTTCCGTGGGTGGGACAGCGTCATCTCTCTGGGCCTGGCCTCCACCGATTGTCCTCATTCCCGAGCCTCGGGGACAGCGGACTTATCAGAGTGGGACCTCTGGCTCCTGCAGGAGGTGCGGTCTCAGGACAGGCTGAAAGGTGGCCGCCCCGGACAGGTGATGCCACAGAGCCCATGCAGCCGGGCGGGGGGCTGGCCCAGGGGTCAGGGCTCCAAGTCCCTTCCTTTGGTTTCCAGGCCTCATCCCTGGCCCACCTGGCCCCACTCGATGCCTTCCAGATCCACACCTCGGTGGGACCACAGTGTTAGCCACTGTTATTCCCCACAAGCCCTCTCTCCGTCGCTGGTGACCATAGTGACATCAACAGCTGAAAGTCCCAGCACCTGCTGGCCACCGGACCCTCAAGGGCACGCTCCTCCTGCCAACGGATGCTTCACAATGAATGCCGCTGGGGGGCTCCGCTGACCCCTCCCCAGAGCCCCTGGACCCGAGCGTTGTGCCGTCAGATGCCGGTGATGGCTCAGGGCACCTGTGTCACAGTGACCAAGGGATAGCACACTGCCAGGCAGGCGGGCGGGAGAGGCAGACTCAGAGTCTGGTCTTGGCCAGCCCAGGGCAGGGTGGGGACCTGCTGCCGGAACACAAGGCCTGTTTACCAGGCGGGAGGACGCCAGCCACGGCCTGCCAGGCCCTGCGGGATCCACCCAGGGAATCACAATGGGCAGCTTGTGTCCCAGCCATCCTCCTGGGGCCACCGCGGGCCTGGCGCCGTGGACAAGGCGAGCAGGGGGTGAGGGGACGGGCAGGGAGGAACCTCTGTGTCCTTGGCAAGGCCAGAGGCTCGTGCTTGCCTGTGGGTCACCTGAGACAGTGCGGCAGAGTGGTGGCCTCAAACTGTCTACATCCTCCTTCTGGGAACTGGGAATGTGTTACCTTCCATGGCAAAGGGGACTTCAGGTCGCCAACTCCCTGACACGAATGTGGGAAGGTGTCCTAGATCCTCCGGGCAGGTCCCGGGCTTCCAGGGTCCCTTAACTGGAAGAGGCAGGAAGGAGCATCCAGGTCAGAGACAGGATGGCTGGGAATGGGGGAGGGCCACGAGCCGAGGTGTGTAGACGTTTCTAGATGCTGGAGAGCAGACCCCCTGGAGTCTCCATGAGGATCCTGCCCCGCCCACACCAGCTTTTAGCCCCTTGAGACCCTGCGGGACCTCGGACCCAGGAGCCTGGAAGAGGAGACATCTGTGTGCATGAAGCCACCGAGTGTGTGGTCGCAGGAGCCATGTGGGAATGGGATTCTGCCCCCCACAGCGAGCCACCAGGAGGCCCTGAGCGCTTGGCGAGCGCGTGGCGAGCACGTGGAGGTCACCCGCCTAAATCTCAAGGACAGCAACCTCCCCCAGGAGGGTCCAGGACCCTGCACGCAGGCCCTCCATGCCGCGGCTGTAAGCAGTAGGAGGGCGTCCCCATGGCGGGGCCACCTCCTTCCTCCCCGTGGCCTGGGCCCCGTACCCTGGTTCCTCCACTTGTGTGGGATAGGGCTTGTGGCTGGGGCAAGGGGGAGCAGGGAGCCCGTGGGATGGACAGGGGTGAAGAAGATGGACCGGGGAGCCTGGAAAAGGGAGCATGTCGCTGCAAGATGAGCGAGGGTGTGGCGTACGGTCCGACCAGGGCCGCCTGCACCTGCGGATCAAGCGCGTTGCCGGTGGGCGGAGACGTGGAGCCCGCCTGACCCAGGGCTGAACGCGGGGTGTGGGCGGGTCAGAGCCTCTGCGAGGAACCCAGGAGCAACCAGGGAAGCCTGCAAAGATGGTTTATTTTTCTTCTTTTTTTAAAAGTTTCGATTTCCTTATTTTTTAAAATTTTTGTATCTTTTTAAAATTAGTTTCAGAGATAGAGGTCAGTGAGTCATCAGTCTTATGTAACACCCGGGGCTCATTCCATCACGTGCCCTCCTTGATGCCTGTCCCCTGGTTACCCCATCCCCCGCCTCCTGCCATCCCGCAGTCCTGGGTTTGTCTCCTACGATCGAGAGTCTCTTCCAGTTTTTCTCCCTCTCTGATTTTGTCTTATTTTATTCCCCTCCCTTCCCTATGATTGTCTGTTTTATTTCTTAAATTCCACATAGGAGTGAGATCATACGATCGTTGTCTTTCTCTGGTTATTTCGCTCAGCATAATACCTTCTAGTTCCAACCACATCATTGCAAATGGCAGGATTTCATTCTTTTTGACAGCTGAGTAATATTCCATTGTATATCTGAACCACATCTTCTTTCTCCATTCGAGATGAGGGTTTTCTACGAGAGCAGATGTGGAAGCAGGGATAGGAGGAAGGGTGGCAGGCGCTGGGCGGGGGTCACAGGGGACAGCTGCAGTCAGGGGGTGGACACAGGGACAGAGGGAAGGAAACTAGAGAGGGCCTCCTGGAGCAGAGGAGGGGTGGAGGGACCATGACAGGAGGCAGTCAGGACCAGCAGGCCAGGATGGTGGTTGGTGTGCGGTTGGACCCCGAGCGGGGCCCTCCTGGCCCCACCAGGCACCCCCTGACTAGGAAGGTGGTGATCCCCATTTGGAGACAGCTGCTTCTGGGTATCTCCTCAGCCCTACCAGTGTCCTGGGGTCACCACCCCGAGCAGCACATGCTGAGGGCTTGAACAACACTGACCTGGCGCTCTGGAACAAGGCGTTGGAGGGCCACGTTCCCTCTGGAGGAGTCTGGGGGACCATCCGACGACCCTCTCCCAGCTTCTGGTGTTGCCGGCCCTTCTCAGGGTCCCCAGTCTCTGCCTCCGTCCTCACATGGCTTCCCACGTGTCTGCGTGCCCTCTTCTGTCTCTGCTCAGGATACTCTCCGTGGATTTCGGGCCTATCCCGCTCCAGCTTGCCCCGGTCTCAACTTGAAGACATCTGCAGAGACCCCGTTTTCAAATATGGTCCCATTCAGAGCAGCGGGGTTAGGATGTGGATGTTTCTCTTTGGGGGACACAAGTCAACCCACAGCATCATCCACACCCCAAAATGGATCCCGACAGCTGAGCGTCGGCCCTGGGGTCCACACATGGGGGCACTGGGAGGAAGCTTGTCCCTTGAGCCGATGCCCCCACAGGGGACCCAGTGCCCTTGAAAGCCTTCCCTGTCCTCCCACTGTTGGGGCTAGGCCAGCTCCCAGCCCAAGGTTCTCTGACCCCAGCCAGGAGGGGCTCTCTGACCCCCACCTCTCCCAGCCCCCTCTCAAAGTACCAAGGGCAGGTTAGCCATGGGGTGGAGGCCTGGTTCCGGGGGTCACTGGGGGAGGTCCCTCCTGCTCCATGG